CAGCTTAATCATATGTTTGCTTTGACAAAGTAAATAGAGGCAGTGTTATTTGTAATGCTAGCTACAGTTTTGCTTTTCTTTCTGGATTCTAATTAAATTTTAACCCTTTTACTTTTGAAAATGCACTTCTGGTGTAACATTGTAGGAATAAGCATTAGACTGCTAACCACAAGATTGGTGGTTCAAACCCACCAGCTGCATCTATAGGGCTCTATAAGTTGGAACTAACTTGATGGCACTTGACAACAACAACTTTTGAAAACAGTATTTCTTTTTCTTGTCACAGGTGGTTATGGACATGGGTTAAATGCCATGGTGGTGATTCTAATTCACAGAGACCCCATGTTACAGAGTAGATTTTTTTTTCCTTCTCTAATCCTTATGGAAGCAGATCACCAGGTCGTTATCCTGCAGTCACTGGATGGGTTTGAACGGCCAACCTTTAGATTGTCAGCTGCGAAATCTTTGAGGGGACACAGACCCCAAATACAAATCTATTCTATAGAAGCCTTTTTAAATCTTAAATGAGACAAAGACAAGCATCCCAGAATGAGGAAAACCATGAACATGAGGCTGAAATGGAGTCCCCTGATTCATGACATGGGGCTGATTATATATAATCGAAGACCATGATTGATGGCAAGTCAATTCATCACTACTTCAGGTTAATTTAGAGAAGCGGGTAAAGGACCATGATTGTAATATGTATAGCACTTAAGATTTAAAAGGACTACTGGCATGGCACTGTAGGATAAGTACTGGACTGCCAACCATGAGGTCAGTGGTTCAAACCCACTAGCTACTTTTCAGAAACCCTGTACAGGGTTGCTCTGAGTCAGAATCTACTCGAAGACACTTAAAAACAACAGCAGACTTTAAACACTTACAGGATTAGTTGTGGCTTTGGCTACCTAACTATGTGTATGACTCATGACAATGTGGCCATGAGTCATAGCTACCAGTACCCTAACTTTTAGATAACATGCAACTATTTTCAATAAATCATAGAGACACACCTAGGCAAGCTCCCTGGTTCTCTGTGCAAGCTTAAGGGCAAAATTTCCCCTACTTGTGCTCTACCTGCAGGAGAAAAAAGAGGCTTTCTGCTCCAAAAAAGATTTACAGTCTCAGAAAACCTATACAGGGTCACTATGAGTCAGAATTTACTCAATGGCAGTGGGTGGGTGGCTTCCACCAGGAGATGTAATAGACTTTTAAGCACATTCTTCCTGAGGGCAAAACTACCCCTCCTCCCTGACTTGTCTAACAGCCCCATTTCTGGCTTAATGATCAGAAAAAAACTTTGTCAAGGCTCAAAATGGAGTTAGGGCTTCCACTGCAAGCCATAGCTATGACAAACTCCTAATGGAGTGTTGTAGGATAAGTACTGGACTTCTAGCCAAAAGTCAGCAATTCAAACCTACCAACAGCTCTTTGGAAACCTTACATAGGGTTGCTATGATTTGAAACCGACTCAATGACACTTAACAAGAACAACATGAAAAACTAAGTGATTTAGAATTTAAGCTATAATATAGCACTTAACCAATGCACTATCTTGTCTCTTTATCATTAATATTGAGGTTTCTCTATCGCCATTTATCAATCACTTTTAGACCTTTTTAACATCTCTTTAAATGTCTTCTTAAAACATCATCATAATTAACAAATTAAATGATATTATCATAGGGAGTAATGGGAACAGGACAAAAGGACAAAATATTCCTTGAAGTTATTCTTAATATGACAGTAGAAGCATGTGCAATCCATGTAATTTTTTTAGAATAATATCTCATGTATAAATGTTTGATCTGGTTGATAAACTATTTCTGTGGTTATATAGAGCTGAATCTTTAATTCTACATTAAAATTAACAATTCTTAGATGATCATCAATTAGACTTAAGTTAGGGACTGTCTTTTTCATCTTATTCATCTTTGTAGCCCTATCCCCTGACATAGTACTTAGTATCATTTGCCAGGAGTCAGCAAGGGGTTTTTGTGGTAGCGTAGTGGTAACAAATCTGGCTGCAAACTGCAAGGTCAACAGTTTGAAACTACCAGCCATTCCATGGGAGAAAGATGAGGCTTTCTGCTTCCATAAAGTGTTACAACCTCAGAAACCCTGTACAGGGTCGCTGTGAGTCAGAACTGACTCCATGGCACATAACCACCACCACCAATCTAAACCAGTTGTTTTTTACAAATGAAAATACCTAAGTCACTTAGTTTAGACCTTTACCATCCTAATAACTAAAATGGCAAATCTAATGGACAGGGGTGAGGAAGCTTTAGCTTTATTTAGCTCCATCTTTACTAGTTTATGCAGCCTTTGCCAAGTAATTTAACTAACTTCTCTGGGTTATGTTTCTTCATCTAAGAACTGGGTTATTTAGCTAACTGTTTCAGTTACTTAAAGGCACTAATGTACGATGACTTATAAATCTCTATAATCTTCATGACTTTAGGTAAATCTTAAGGTGTCCTTTAAACAGTAAAGTTTATCCTCACCCGGATTTTATCTAGGTCCTCATTCTTGGTTTCATCTTCAATCAATGCCTTACATTCCTGCATAAGATTTTGACTCTGCTTCCTTTTCATCTCCCAAGAAGAGGCCTATAGCAAGGTATTAGCAAAAAATATACAAGGATTAGTAACAATCGATGGTACACATAATCCCAACTTCATTCCTTTCTTGATCTACTTCTAGGAGCTGCAGACTTCTCTAGGGTATAGAGAGAAAAGTCAATTTCTTTGCCCTCAGGATCTTTGCCCTCAAGAAGTGAATAACTTAGAAAAGCACATATGAAGGTCAAATAACAATACCTAAAAATAAGAAAAGTGTCATAAGGCAAATTAAATATTGAATGAGTGGTAAAATCAAGGAGGCTCAACATTGAATTAAAGGGTCTACAGTATTTCGCAAAGTATCTGCATGAATTATTATCCAAATACTATAGAAGTAGTGTCTCATATGTCTATGACAGGGCCTCAAAAAGTCTGTAAAGAACTTCCATTATCTTTTCATTCCATTTTTCCACAAAGCTTTTGAAGCTCCTTCATGAGTGCATTGTACTTAAATTTTATGTAGATGTTGCTGGAAGGAATAAGATCTATATTTACTTCAAAATATCTACGATGGCTTCTTCTTCTTATATAGCTCCTAACCAATGGATATTAGACAGACCTAGGATTGTTTACTACATCTGCAGTCATTGTCATTTTTTTGACATTGAGAAGTAGCTCTCATATTTGAAATGTAAAGTTTATAATGTAGTGAATGGGCTTCCTTGATTGAAATGGCTACAGATGTGGACTCTTGAAGACACAGCTGCATCTTATTCATCTTTGAGTCCTCAGCACTCTACTCTGACTAATTGCTTAATGTATAATGTTGTTATGTGCCATCAAGTCAGTGCCAACCCATAGTAACCCTATATAGGGTTTCTAAGGACTGGCTATTGTATATTAGTTGAGTGATATGAATTAACAAAGGGCACTGAGATAAAATTCAAAGGAATTAGGAATTGCATATGTAGGGATCAATAAGTAGATTCATGTGTTTTCAGGAAATGGGTGATACAAGTTGTTTAGGATTTTAAAAAGTAGAACTTTCTACAAAGACAGAGTGTGAAATAATTATCTAGAAGAAAATGGTTATCTGTTTTAATAGAGAAGAACACTGGTGCATGTAACTTGAAGCATTTACTAATTCCAGAGTCATCACTATCAATTTTTGGAAAGTATGATAAGTCTTATATGGAGCAAATCTGTCTTTCTAATTCAATGCTGCTTAGCCTTATATCAAAATTAATTGCATTTCCTGTACCTCTTCTATCTCATGGTGGTAATGCCTAATGTTGTGCATATCAGAGCAAATGTTAGAAATAAATCTCAGGTAATAAAAACTGTTTCAGTTACAGTTGAAAGGCTGAGTAAATTTATTTTCAAGGACTTACAAGAATTTTTTTGTGATTTATGCACCTCACTTCTAAATTTTCTTAAGTATAGAATATCTTCTCAGATGAAGTCATCTTATCTTACATTGATATAGAAGCTGTCTCGTTTCTCTCTTTCTATTCTCTAATCAATCCTTTGTAGACAGACTTCAATCCTTGCCATCCCAACAACAAAAAATTGTTAGTGAGGTCATGTCTACATCTCTAAGTCATTAAGTGAAAAGACATTGTTTTTAGGTCTGACTTGGCTTTTCAACAGCATTTAGCCTCCCTCACCTCTTCCTATTGAATCACTCCTTTTTCACTCTTGGCTTTAATAATATCCCAAACTTCTGGGTTTTCCTCTTACGGCTCAGATCATTTTGTCACAGTTACCTGTGAACTGCTACATTCCAAAGTTGTTGTGCGTGCCATCGAGTGGTTCTGACACATGGTGACTCTGTATAGGGTTTCTGAAGAATAGCTGGTGGGTTTGAACAGCTGACCTTATGGTTCACAGTCCAGTACTGATCCTACAGTTCCATATGTGAGTCACAGCTGGCCATAGAATGCTAGAATTTCTCATGTTTTCGTCTCATCCTTTTCTTCTTACTGTTCAATATCATTCATACTTAGCATTTCTACCCATTGTTTTAGTTATCTAGTGCTGCTATAAGATAAATACCAAACAGAAATTTATTTTCTCTCAGTCAGGAGGCTACCAATTTAAATTCAAGATGCCGTTTAGCTCTGAAGGAAGGTCTTTGTCTCTTTGAGCTCTTTATCCTGGGAGAGCTCCATGTGTCTTGGCATCTCTCTTTTCTAGTCTCTGGTTCTAAATTGCATTTGTCTATTGTGGCACTGTAAGATAAGCACTTGACCAACCATAAGGTAAGTTTGAATCACAAGGTATGCAGTTTGAACTCACCAGCCACTCCTTGGAAGCCCTATACAGGATTAGTGTGACTAAGAAATGACTCACTAACACTGTCTTATTAACATTAAAAAGACAGCCTATTCCCAAATGGGATTATAACTACAAGCATAAAGCTGAGGCTTTCCAACATATATTTTGAGGATATAAAGTTCAATCTATAACATTCATTTTAGTGAAGATACCTCACAAGTTTGTCTTCATGTTAAGCCTTTCCTCTGATATTCAAACTCATATAAATTACCTCTTACTTGATAAATCCCCTTATAAATCTCACATTATTTCAGTTAAACTCATGGTCCTTCTCACAAACCCAGGCACCTTTTAGGATTCCCAATTTTAATGATCAGAATCACCACCCAACCTAGAGCAAGAACCAGAAATTCAGTAGTTATGTTTGCCATTTCCCTCCACTTTACCCTCTAAATTCAATAGATAACTAAGACCAATCAGTGCCATTTCCTTAAACAAATAACATAAAAAGCATGTCTTCATCTCCACCATTATCTCAATCCATACTTCTGTTATTTTTGAGAATACCACTCTGATAACCTTCTAACTGCTCTGCCCATAGTCACTCTGTTCTCTACTAACTTTTCTTCGATACTTGGTCAAAGTGATCTTTTCTAAAAAATCTTCTCAGGCTACCTACTGTTTGAAATGCTTTAATGGTTTTCCATTGCTTTTAGGGCAAATGCAAAGCCCCACTGCAAGGCCTGTGGAATCGGCCTGGTTCTGATCTCTGTTGTATACTCATCTCACACCCATTTGCACCTCAAGGCCTATGTCTTCTTAGAGTGCATTACTTTGCATTCAACACATTCCATTTTAGATAACGCTGTGTGCATTTATTTGAAAATACTCTTTCCTGCATCTCTATGCACTTAGATGCATATACTTAGTAAGCATATGTTGCCTTAACATATGGGAACAATCTAAACTTCTTGATAACTTGTATGTTTTTGGAGCATGTAACATTCTCACAAAATAAACTGACTAAACATACATCTTGAAACCACATGTTGTTGTAAAGTGCCATCTAGTTGATTCTGACTAACAGCAACCCTCTATAGGGTTTCCAAGGAGCAGCTGGTTGAGCTGCTGACCTTGTGGCTTGTATGCTTATCCTATAGTGCCACAACAGAGTTCTACTGCACAGCTGTTAAACTTTTCTAGAAATCAAGTTAAGAGGGGCAAGGCCAGCAGTTCGAAACTACCAGCCGCTCCGCGGGAGAAAGATGAGGCTTTTTGCTCCTGTAAAGATTTACAGCCTCGGAAACCCTTTACAGGGTCGCTATGGGTCGGAACCGACTCCACGGCACTTAACAACAACAACATGACTCTAAAGTGACAAAATAACGTTTTATATTACAAACGTGCATACTTTAAACATAATAAATGTTGAGTAAGTGTCTGGTGAATATATGAGCTTGTGCATTTGCACATGATATGACATTCAAAGTAACAGAAAAATTCAAATTCTATAGTAATTGCAGATTCAATTTGGTTTATGTAAAACTCAAGGGAAGATTTAGGACCAACATTTCAAAATTAACAGGACATGGGCTACAAATAAGATGACAAGGTGGCACAGTGGTTAAGTGCATGGTTACTAACTGAAAGGTGGGCAGTTTTAATCCATCAGTCACTGCACAGAAGGAAAATGTGGCAATCTGCTTCTTTAAAAATACAGCCTTGAGAACCCTATGGAGTAGTTCTACTGTGTTCTACAGGGTCTCTATTTGAGACTGTCATCCAGGGTCTCAAATATTTTAAGAGTATGAGCTACTCAACACATAAATGAGAAAAAGGTTGCCACAGGAAGTAATGAGGTCTCCATCTTTCAATAAGAAGTTGGATACCCTTTGCCAAGATACTACAAAACAAATGTATGAGATTTCTGTAATATGACCATTGTTTAGAATAATTTCTTGTGAAAGAATCATTCCCAAACTATCTTGTCTCCCTATGACTATATGTGTGTGTGTGTGTGTGTGTTACACAAGGCGGAAGCTCAAATAGGTATTTGCTGCCCAAATTAGTTTATTGCTTTCAACAACTATGAAAATTCATTTGAATAATTTCCATGATCGATTATAGTCACCACTTAAGAATTAATTCAATTTTTGGAAAGAAAGCAATAGGTATCATAAGTAAAATTTTATAAACAAGGATTATAAAGTAGGCAATCATTTTTGACCTTATTAAAGGTATGAACTGGTAAGTTAGTGAAATGATGTCTGTAATTACTTGACACTGGACCTGACACATGGTAAGTGCTCACTCAATTGTTGGTGGTATTGTTAAGTGCTGTTGAGTCAATTCCCATTCATAATGACCCTGTGTAGGGTTTCCAAGGAGCAGCTGGTGGATTTGAACTGCTGACCTTGTGGTTCACAGTTCAATGTTGATTCTACAGTGCCACACCAAGAGTCCAAATGTAGGTATTATTATTATTATTAAGAAAAACTGAATCTCAAGACTAATTCTCAAAATGAATTAAATAAGAGTTATATAATATCCCACTTTCCAAGACTCTGACTACAGGGATAACTGTTGTTGTTAAGAACTGTCAAGTTGGTTCTGATTCATAGTGACACTTTCTAAGGTTTCCAAGGAGCAGTTGGTGGGTTTGAACCACAAACATGGCAGTTAGCAGTCCATTGCTTATATTCCAGCACCACACCAGGCCTCCATAAGGATAACTGCTTGTCTATAATTTGACTAAGCATTTTCCCTATAAAATACTGAATGCAAATTTCTGAAGATTATAATTTAGCTTATATTAATAGTTCTCTCTAAAAACACATTTAAAATATTTTTCCAACCAGGCATTTTTCAGAGGGGCCTTCATTTGGTTTGTACTTGCCACACATTGTGCTGATATTACCAATCTGGCTTTTATTCTAATAAAGTGAACACACACAAAAAAAGGGGGGGGGAGGAATCTTACCCAGGAAGCATAGACTACAATATGTATTCTATAATTAGAGAGCTCTAAAAATATGATAAAGAAGCAAAACCTTTACAAAAAGCTATTCCTAGGAACAAATGAATTACTATACATTTTGTGAAGAAAAAGAAAAAATACACCTGGACTCTCTGAGTTGGTTTGACATTTTCTGGTGAAACTGCTGGATGTCTCCACTGTTGAGGTTTCATTTTCTTCCACCCAGTCTTCTTCATAACTTTAGTCTCTGAAATGAACTCTACATCAGAGTCTGACCCTTCTGTGCTCCTTTTCCAGCCTCTGCAGTTGACGGAAACCTCAACAGATGGAAGAGACTCATGCATCAAATCACTACTCAAAGGCTTCATTCTCTTTGTCTTGGTATTTTCCTTAAAAAAAATAATAAAAAGGTTTTGGGTTTGGTTTTTCTTTCTTTTTTTTTTTTTGGTAGTTAACTTTTTATAATTAATCTCCCTCATAAACTTATGATTTTAGGTGTTATTTCTTATTACCAATAAAAAATTTATAAATCAAAAGTTTCAAAAATAGGTATTAATGAAAGAATAGTACTTCACCAACTCAAGAACTTGATTCAAGAGTAAGTGTAGACAAGAATGTCCAAACTTGTAGACAGTACCCATTTGACCTAGCTTCAATGGCTTGATGATCAGAACTCGACTAGAGGAAGATAAAGAAATTTAATTAAGGAAATAAGTATAAATT